ATAACTCTTAGATTTGGTCTCTGAAATGATGCTGTGGATGTAAAGTCTTAGCAGAGCTCCAGCCACACAGTAAGTGCTCAATAGATGTTGACCATCTATTTGGCTGGGATAGTTCTTACGAGCTTATATTCATCTCACTGTCCAAAGTCATTAACATAACTAGCAACAGAATCATTAGATTCAGTTTTATCATAAAGACATAAATGTAATATTTCGATCAGGAAGATCTATTTCCCCAGCATCTCGCAGGAGAGACAGATGAGGAAGCAGAGGCTCTGTGACATGAGTGGCTTTCTAAGACCCCACTGGCGAGGAGCCTTGGTTTCTCAAGACTATTAGTTTAAGTGGGGATGAAAGTCACCTGGCAGACTGTGAAATATGTTTTAATAGTGCCTAATTAATTTTGATATTAAATCAAAGTACCAACTCAGGCATTTTTAAATACATGTCAACCAAATCAACTCGTGGTTGGTTTGTTGCCGTTGGACTTGGTGGTTTTCAAGCTGCGCTGCTGATCTATCCATTAATCACTGAATTCAAAAGGGACTTTGTAGCATCCCTAGTTAAATGTGATGTGCTAGGCTATAAAGATTAAGGAAAATGGGGACTGGAATTGTTATGAGACTTGGCCAAGATCGAACATGCTAAGCCATCTCAGTCGTAAGCGTGGTCAAGATGGTGGAGAGGTGTCGCAGAACTGCTGGCTGCTTTGGCCGGGGTTGACCCGAGTATGATCTTGGGGAGACCTGATCGTTGGATCCGTAGACTGAGGACTTACCTTCTAGGCCATGTTGTTTCCAGTTTTTCTTAAGCTCAATTTTCTCATCCAGAAAATGGACATAAAAATATATGCCATGTCTACCTCATCAAATGGAAGGATAGATTGGAAAATGTGTAAAATATAAAGTAAGAAACTATTTCATAATTGTTGCTATTTGCATGAATTGAGAATTGAATTCCCTCTGAGTTAACCTCAACTTTCTGTGGGAACTTTGTGTCGTAGTATCCATTTTATCAATACGGGATGGGTCAGAGAGAGAAAATGAGTGGCACCGTGAACTGATAGTTAGACTTTATTTTTTAGGAATTTTTTGGATGGCAATAGACATGTCATGTGACCCTATGAGTTACACAGTGTTCTTCAGTGACTTTTAACTGGCTCAGTGCAGATTCCCTAAGTTTTCTCCTTTAACTTCCTTAATTATGCGTGATGTTATCATTTATGCTTCTGATTTACTCAAACTTCCCTTGTTAAAATACTATTCACAAGAGGCATCAGATAGCCAAGAAGTCTTTCCAGGTGATTCAAATGAGCTCCTAATGGTTATTTTTTGAAGGCAGGAAGTCACAAATTGCCAAGAATAAAAGAACTTGAAAACTCAGGGGTGTTTTCTGATCTTCAAGGGACTGATTATATTTCTGAACGGTGACCTGATTTGATTGAAATAACCAGCTATGCATTTCTTACATTCATAGCTTTGGTAACTTTATTACACACTGTGATTAACAGCTGAAATAACTGATCGGATTAGCCTAAATATTTTATATAACTATGACTTAGAAATGTATCTTACAAAGGATTAAACTTTAGTTTTACCTAGACTGTGGATCTTGCCTCTGAGAGTACCATTTTTAAAGTATTATAGGGTCGCTTATGTCACAGGCAGCCCTAACTACTCAAGAAGTTTTCTTTAAAAAACTATATGACATATGATATTAATTTTATTTCCAAATTGGACATCTAAGAAACAATCAAGAATGGAAAATTACATGGTGCCCATGTTACTGCGAACATGGGCTGGTGTCTGCATTCTGTATATAAGTCACATGGCCTCTTTTTGTGAGGCAGATAAGAGGCTTCTCCGGGACAGTTACTTGTTTCCCTGGAAATAGTCTGTGCTCCTAGGTTCTCATTGCCTCACAAAAAGAGGCCATGTGACATATACAGAATGCAGACACCAGCCCATCTTCTGATTTCTGTGTGACATACAAGACAGTACGTGATGGCGTGGGAAGCTGCGCGGCAGTATTTGTCTTTGTTTCTGATTATTTGTCAAACTGCCCGGTTTCTGCTTGTACTGGAAATACCTGTAAGAGGAGCCCCATTGTGTACTTTGGTATTTGCCAGACTCTAGCACAGTACTGGGCACATAGTAAGCACTCAATAAACACATAATTAATCAGCACTGACTGGGAAACTTCTCAAGGTCTGGGATTCTGTTTCAAATTACCTACATGATACCTCATATAAGGCCACGTGCTGATAGGTGCTTATTGATTGATTTGATTGAAACTATAAACAGAATATCCATTCGATTCTTTAACTCCTGTGATAGTGTGAATTTGGGCCCCAAGTCTTTTTCTTCATATACCTTGTCTTGCCCAAAGAGCTTTAAATATGCTGCTTGTCATTGCGGTTGCCTAGCTTATCACGGAAAGTTGCATTAGAGAAGATTCCTACATTCTTCAAGTATTCGGAGGTGGAAGAGATCACAGAAGTTTTCAGTTCAATCTTTCTGATGGCACGAGGGGGAAATAGGTCCGCTGTGGTCCAAGGTTATTCATTGATCCATTTAATGTTACATTCTGAGTATTCATTTTATTCTGGATGACACGGTAAGTTACGAGTCGAGTCTCTTATTTTCCAACTCTCCGACCATAGTCCCCGTTCCAATCCCAACCTCCATTTGGCTGCCATTAAATATTTGTCACTTCCTACAGTGATCTCTTTCCTTCCCCTCCCCTTTCCTAAACACACATTGGGGAAATCAGATGTCCAAAATTTCTTCTGGGCCCTACTTAGGGTGTCTATTTCCAACTTTTTCATAATTACAGCACTCTGGGGCAAGGAGATATCTTAACATTTTGTTCCCAAAGATGGGACAAGGTTATTTTTTAAAAATCTTGCTGAGAAGTTTTTGAAACATTCACAATATTCTTGATAAGGGAGGAGTTCTTGGCATATGACAGACACACACTGGGAGTTGGGAATCCATGTCTCGGAGGACCGCAGCAGTTACTGTGCTTGGCTGCGCCTGTGCTGAGGGAATGGCTCTGCTCCTGGAAGGTATGCAGAATCAGGCGAGGGAGGACATTTGTCACTTGACGGTGGCTCTCATCTCAGATAAGTAGCTCCACTTTTCTGTGTTTGAAGGAGACCAAAATTAGTAGCTCCTGTTTAGCCCAAGGTATAAAATTATATGCTTAGACATGTAAAACCTAGTTATAAAACTTTTTTATTTTTTTTCTGGTAAAGGTGGTGACCTGACTAGTGATTGTGGATAAACTGAAAGTTGTGGGCAGAGACTTCCCTGGTGTTTGAAGGAGACCAAAATTAGTAGCTCCTGTTTAGCCCAAGGTATAAAATTATATGCTTATACATGTAAAACCTAGTTATAAAACTTTTTTATTTTTTTTCTGGTAAAGGTGGTGACCTGACTAGTGATTGTGGATAAACTGAAAGTTGTGGGCAGAGACTTCCCTGTTATTTAGGAGCTTGGTTCCGTTCTACAGTCCCCTGAATGTCTTCAGAAGTGAAGGGTGAGGAATTGGGGAAGATGGAGAGAAACGGCACTTTGTTCCCTGTGGGTTTTGGCAAAGCTGTGGGAGATTCGTGCCGGAAATGCTGCCTGGGTTTGAGAGAGGAACACATCAGGGCTGGAAGGAAAGAAAATGAAGGTGTCATGGGATGGGTTGTTCACAGGCTGGAAGTCTGCTGCAAGTAAGCGAGCATGGCAGCAGGACAGTCTGGCGCTGTCCCACCCTCCTTCCATCTTCTCGTGTCAAGGACTGATGCCCAAGAGGCTCTGACCTTTGACAGCACTGAAGAGCCAGATGTCAGAGTAAGACACCGCTGTTTCTGACCTTCAGTTATGTATGTATTTACTTATGGGGAAGCGATCCGATGTTAAGGGTGAGTTAGAGAAATAAGATTCTTAGGCTCGGCTTGCAGTATCATCTGACCTAAGAAAATTGTCCTAGGTAACCTGAGTTTTTAGAAATCTTAGGAGATAACAATTCTTGGCCCCGGGCCCCTAAAAGTAAAGAATTTAAGAAATTACAGAAAATTCTCTGGTCAATCTGAGTCTAGCCTTCTCCATCAGTCTCCATGCCCCCCACCCCCTTTGCGAGTACGGAAGACACCGGAGGAAAGGACCGTCTGGCCCAGCACGCCAGCGTTTTATTTGGTTGCTCTCAGTCCTCCCTTCCTGTTTGGATCACCCTCCCCTCTGCCCGTACTTCGGAGACCAATCACGGTGTCTCTCTTCTGAACTCATTTCTTCCCTTTGTTTCAGCTGCCTCCTTGGGTAACTTTCTCCATATGCTTACACTCACAATGGTTTCTTTTATTCCTTTTTTTTTTTTTTAATCCAAAATGGTCTGATTGAACTCTTAGGAAGAGCCGTTTACTCAAACATACGACAAAGTGCTTCTAAAGATCCCAAACAACTTTTCATTACTTTTGATATATACACGGAGGGGAAAATTGCTGTGTTTAAAAATAACTGACTGATGGGCAGTGATGCTGAGTGGGATGGAATTCAAGAACATGTTGTCAGCACCGGATCTTCCCTAAGCGAAATAGTCTAATCTAGATCTGGAGCTAGAGCCTGTAATTATTAGTATTATTTTTAAAAAATGTGGCCTTTATTTATTTTGTTGCCCAGTTAGGTTTCACTCCCTTCAACGTGGTGACATTAGTACTCTTGATATTGCCTGTTGCTGACCAATTTTCTTCAGCTGTTGCTAAAACTTACGAAAATGCCAGATGTCATGTTGGAAACACGAAACCTGAAAGAAGGTCTTAAATCACAAAAACAAACCATAAAACCCCAAGTGCCGTGCTCTGGAGCGTCCCTGCTTTAAGGCTCCTTTTGTTTGCCTCTTCCCCCCTCCGCCGCCCAACCCCTTCCCCTCCCTGCCTCCCATCTTCCGGGGTCAGGAGCGTTGGCGGGGAGCTCGGCAGGTTCTCACCTGAGGCTCCATGGCTTGTTTTGCAGATTCCGAGCCGAGCACTGGTTCAGACTCGGAGGTGCTCCCCGAGCGGACTTCCTGCTCCTTTGACGCTCACGGCGACCTGGGCCCCGGAGCTGCAGGCGCCGTGCCTGCTGCCATGTCTTCCATGGAGGAGATTCAGGTGGAGTTGCAATGTGCCGACCTCTGGAAGAGGTTCCATGACATCGGGACTGAGATGATCATCACCAAAGCGGGCAGGTAAGGACAAGTTCCTTTGCATGGCCACGTTCAAAGAGCAGAGAACAGAATAGGAACTGTTGCCTTTCCCCTTTTCACTTATTTGTGGCAGGCAGCCTTGGTGAAGCCAAAGCCACTTGCACTCACTTTCCTGCATCTGGACGTGTTGGCAAAGTGATCTTGTTGTGTTAACTGGGATTTTGCTATTTTCCTCCAAGGGCCACTCAAACTGAGTCACCTCTATCTTTGCAAACATTTTTCGCCCACAAATGTATTTTGGTTGATACTGGAGATCCATGGTATGTAACAGCCAAACTGTTTTCCAGAGCAAGGGATACATCAGCATCCTGTGTTTTTAAGAGAAAAAATTGGCTCCCTAAACCATAGCTTGCATCTTCCAAGGCATTTAAAGCAGCCAGACATTCGTGTAAGAATTTTGTTTTTGGTAATAATTGGCCTTGGTGCATCTTCTGAGCCTTGCTTGTTGATCCACTGTGTTTTATTGTGGGCTTGAAATTATCACAAAACTTAAATGGCAACCTCGTGGAAACTCTTGCAGAACTTTTTATGTAGGATGATAAAAGTTTAAAAAAGGCACTTTCTCTTGAAATAAACACTTTTAATTAAGTTACTCTTTTATTGGTATCTTTCAATTTTCCATAGTTATGTATCTGTTTTGTGCTTGCTACTCAATATCTACTGTATTATTCAAACTTCATAAGAATCCTATAAAGTTGGATATAATAATCCCATATGTCGATGAGGATACAAAGGTCAAAAGAGACTAATTAACTTGACTGGGGCCACATGCCAATAAAGGGCAGCTCTAGAATTCTACACAAATCTGTTTGATTCTAAAACAACATAACAGCCTCAACTATTTATAACTCTGCCCTGTTAAGAAATGGCTGTAGTTTTTGCCCCTTGGATTAAAAATGAAAAATGATTTAAATAAAAATAAATCAGGGCTAAGCTTCTTAAGTATGCAGGGACGGTTCACTGAAATTAAAAGAGTTATGCAGTTTTCATATTTTCAAAGCTGATCTATGTAGTCTCTTGTCATGGAGACCAGAAAGACTCACCTCACTGATCAGAAGACATCTTCATAAATGTGGACATTTAAAGTAAAAGGATATTTTAATGGGGTCCAGTTCACTTGAATGCATATAGAGGAACCTCCCCGTACAGTAAGATAGTTCAAAAACATGATGTTAAAAGGAACCCAAAATCTAGTGCATTTTCTTTCTCTCCTAGAACTCTCGTCTCTCCCCAAGTTTTAGTAGAGAATAAAACCATCGAAAGGCTTCTTAGGAGGAGCAGCTCAGGAGGAACATAACTTTCAGTGCCATCTCTTTTTTGTTGCTTGGGTTTCCATCTACTCCTGTTCTACATTTTGAGACGTTACGTCATGAAAGGAAACAGTAATTCAAGAAAAAAGATTTTGTCAAGGGGCTGGGTTTGGAGGGAGGGGGAAGTATTACTCTTTTTGTCTATAAGATCTTTCAGTTTTATTTTGGGCTTTTACTTATCACTGTTGGGTCTGGGTAGTCCATCATTTTTGATCTTGATATTACCCCTTTGTTTCCCGTGCTTCAGTGAATTCAGTTCAATTGAGCACCTCATTGCCAGCTCTGCTGCGACCTCGTTTTGTGATTTCTTCTGCAGTGTTTTCTTTTCCATATCTCTACCTTCGCAAATTTACTTTGATGCCTGAATATATCCAGATATTCCCAGTACAGATCTACAGTCCGTTCTTTAGTCATATCCTTTTATTTAGGTGTAGAGACTGCATTGTTTCTGTATTGCCTCACAAGTTGCTGTTACTACACGTAATGCTACTGAAGTAATTCTGGAACAACTCCGAAACACACACACACAAAGCCTTTCTCGTCTGTGAATTTCCTTCACCCCCACCCCGCATTCCCCCAGCTGATTTCTTCCTTTCACTTCTTTTTCCTTCCTATGTAGTGTCCTTTTACATTTTATTTTATTTCCAATTTCCATTTTTTAGTTGCATTAGTTATATATGACTCTCTAGTTCTTTTTCCTGATCAGAAGCTCTTAGTCACTATCTACTTCTTCTCATCCCCTCCCACCCCCCCAAACTGCAGTCCTGTTGATTCAGGATGACTGCAGTCTACAGAGCCCTCCATCTTTGAATGTTACCAACCTAATCGGTATAATCAGCACCATGGACAGAGGCGGCTGTGGGGATTAATGGGTTTGGAAGACAAAACAATTGGCATAAATTTAGCCATAAAATTAAAACCAAACACATCTCATTTTGTGAATATGAAAGATTAATTTTCCTCTAGGGTATTATGACTTCACTTGATGTTCTGTGCTAAAATACTGACAAACAGAAAAAGTAACTTTTGGTAAGTTTTAAGGTAAAGAGAAGTTAAATATAGTCATAGAATTTTAAAGCAAGAGGGCACCTTAGAGATCATCTGATCTCTTTCCTTTGTTCTGTAGGTGATGGGGTTAAATGACATATCCAAAGTCACACAGATCATTCATTTTAGATCTTGAGTACTGGGAAGAGACAGGTAGCTTCTCTACTCAAGGTCATATAAGTGCCTTAGACAAAACAGGTATTACGTTTAAAAACATCCAACCCCTTTTCTTGAAGTCATCAAGTAAAGAAATTCATCTCTTTCAATGAAAAGCGGCCTCTATAGATGCCTGAGAGGAACCACATTTTCTTATCTCAGATGGCAAGTGAGAGGACTTTCTCTCCATCCCTGGCAAGATACTCTCCCACCATTTACATACACAGGGCAATCATAAGTCATTGTTACTAAGAAGGAAATTACTGATCTATATTTAAATGTATAAACCAAAGTTTTCATTAAAAAAAAAATTAGTGTGGATTAAAGTGCCTAACCTGTAGTGATTTAGTTATTATGAGCAGTCCATTATCAAATTTCATTAGCCTACCATAAGACTAAAATATAAGGCTTTCTAATTAAACTTACGAAGGTAGAGGGATAAAATCTAAATAGATATACTAACAGAAGCTTCTGAAAAGTTATAAAGTGGGAAAGAAGGAATGGTTATTTAACTAAGAATTAGCCGTCATTCCTATTACAAGGTCTATAGTCCCTCTTGCACGTTCCCTCAAATATGATTATGATGTCATTGACCTACTACCAGAGGACATTTGCTTTTTAAGCTGCTTTTGGTGAGCAGTGGAATGTGTGACTAGCACAGACCGCCCCTCATGTAAACAACCAGTGCGCATTTACAAGATGGTTTTTCTGGGGTCATGGTATGGTCTATGGCCATGAAATGGAGCAAAGCCAATTAGGCTGTATGTGGATCAAGCCTGTGACCTTGACCTCATTAGCACTGTGCTCTGCCCAGCTCTGCTAAATGGCCCCAGATGGTTAAGCTTAATGTAGCATTTTGTGTACAAGTGCCTTAGAGTGCATTCAGGGCGATCCAAAGTTTTGAACCAAGCACTTTTTATGTCTGGCTCGAAAATGAATGACATGCAAAAGAGCTTGATGTTTTTCTTATTCCTTATGGTTAACAAAGAATGGTGAATTTTATTCTGGATTTCTTGAAACACAATACCTCTTTTGGGTTGTTCCCTCTTCAATTATGAGAGTAAGTTGTAAAGTGCCATATCCTGACCTCGCTTGCTTTGGCAAGTTTAACAAGCCATTGTGGTAGAAACAAGGTATTGCCCAGAGGCCACTAGAATTCATTTGGTATTTGCTCCCTATTCCACAGGGTCCTTCCCCTAACACACATGTTGACAGCCTGAGAACTTGCAGGAGTTTTTCTACAGTTTTATACATTAAAAAAAAAAACCAAACAACCCCCCACCCCCCAAACCCCACAAACCTTTGGAGGCCCTTTGTCTGGGAAGTGGTAGCACTTTTTTTTTCTTTTTCTTGAGAGATTATTTTTAGAGTGGTCATTTTCAAATAGATTCAATCAATTAGAAATATTTTATGATCATCAATAATAAGCTGCGATAAGCTACTTGGGGAATAAGAAGATTATAAGTTACTCAAGTGTGTTAAGTATAAGAGTGTGAGTATATTCAAGAATGTTGTGGTCTGATAGGAAATGTATGTGTGGATACATACACATCATCTGTCTCTATCTATCATCTATCTATCTATCTATCTATCTATCTATCTATCTATCTATCTATGTATCATCTCTCCTCACATTAAAGGTCAACTAATAATAATATAAAGCAGGGTATGGTATGAGCCCTTTGAGTGTATGAATCATCAAATAAGTCAATTTAAATTAAGAAGAGGTGCTGTTTCAGCAACATAAGTTATCAGCATATTTTCTGGTGGTAATTTCCAAAGTGAAAACTATCTGCTGACTTTGAGAATTAGAGGACGCTGGACCCTGGTGTGCTTCAAGTTCCTAATGAGAAGACACTCTCAGCTTTTTCTCCTGCTACTTCTTCCCCTTTCATTGCTGAGTTTCCTACCTTAATCCCCTTCATAGGAGGATGTTTCCTGCCATGAGAGTGAAAATCACTGGCCTGGATCCACACCAGCAGTACTACATAGCAATGGACATTGTGCCTGTGGACAATAAAAGATACAGGTAATGAATGGCTCTGAGGGGTGGAATTGTGGCTATCACTGACATTCTAGAACTGTTCTTTAAACTCATTAGACCAAGTGTTTTAACAGTGCACCTTTAATGCACTGTATGGGGAACGAGGATGAAGGATATGCCAATGGCCTGTGGCAGAGCCCAGGCAGGTAGAATTCACCAGAGGCGGGAAATCAGGGCTCAGTGGCAGTTTGGTCTAGACTCCCTACTATATTTCTGGGGAGAGTCAAACTGTATAGTGTCTGTCAGAGTAGCAAAAGTCAAATGGATCTGGTCTAAAATTAATTCAGTTAACATCGAGAGTGATTAACATACTGAATGATTTAACTTATAAAATACTGATTGAGATGAGATGATTTCAGAAAGGGGAGAAAGTGGACCAGTGCTTTCAATATATTTGATGGATTACCCTGTGGACAACGGAGGGGAAAATAGGAGAACTGGATGAGACTTCAAGAAGAACATCTACTTAGGGAGAATTATCGTTCATTCATACAGGTTGTGAGCGAGTCTGTTAAGTCACTTTCCTTCGAAGTCATGAAAAGCCATCACAGTCTCTGTGTCTCTTGGATGGCTTACAGGTAGTTCTTGTCTGAAACAAGTTGTGGCTTAACTGATCTCTCGAGATCTCGATGCAGTCAGTGGATTGTGACTCATTTTGAAATATCCGAAGACCAGGACTGGTATGGCAGCGTGAGAGAGAAGTGGTCTCGATGGCAGGACTTATGAGGGGAGACGCTGCACATCTGTTCTAGAGGATCTTGGGAACTGTGCCCGTTTGCCAGCGTCCAGGTCCCAGGTGGTCCTTCGGAAATGGGAGGCAGAAAGTGTCGGATTCATGGAGAATACTCTAGAACTACAGGGCCATTAGCAAAGTCCGAAAAGCTGACCTCCTTTGCTACCAACAACATCTCATTTCCAGTGGTTTTGTGGGAAAATAAGGTGGAGGTGATGATGTTCGAAACCAGTTTCATCAAAGAAAACACCAACTGGGAGGACTTGGCGGTGTTTCTGGTGATGCTCGCTCTAAGGCAAAGGCCCTCCATTTTTATAGAAATGCCTCAAAATCCAGATTCTTAGCAAGGAAATAGTTAACAAGTGAGAGGCTTAGAGGGTCTCTGCATATAGCTGTGTTTTATAGGACAATATAGAAGATGTTTTTAATAAGGAAACAAATCCCGAACAAGTGGCCGACGGATTATATGGTTTGCATTTGAAAGGTGAAAGGTTGCAGTAAAATCCCTTTCCGTATCTAGCCACGTGGGTTTAGGACGCGCGTGTGCACGCCGGGGTGCAAGGCCAGGAGAGGCCGAAGGAAAAGGGCTGCGGGAACGTTTCCCTGTGAGACGCGGCTTGGATCATTCGACACAGCAATTCTCTGCTCTTGCCCACCCCATCTCACGCCCCATTTCCACCTCTGTCTAATTTTTCCTCATTATTTACCCTCCTCTGTTGAATCTCTACTACTTCTCCATTCTTGTCGCCGCTTCGTCTCTCCTCTCTCCTGTCCCTCCTGAGCCTCCGTTCCCTCTGCATCTGTCTCTGAATTCTCCTCTCTCTCTCTCTCTCTGTCTCAGATATGTGTATCATAGCTCCAAGTGGATGGTGGCTGGCAACGCTGATTCCCCCGTGCCCCCGAGAGTTTATATACACCCCGATTCTCTAGCTTCTGGAGACACTTGGATGAGACAGGTGGTCAGTTTCGACAAACTCAAGCTGACCAACAATGAACTGGACGATCAAGGACATGTGAGTCAAAGAATCCCATCTCCTTCTTCCTCCCTCTTCCCCCTTTTGCTCCAGAGCTGACTAGCCCCAGGCTTTTTCAAATAGGTAAAAGAAGACTCATCCTGCCACTTTAAGTCATCCTAAGGAAGTAAGCATAAGTCTTGTTTTCTTCCTGTGAAATTCCGTTTATTCCAAATCTAACATTTAGCAAATGTCTGCTGTACGTTATGTGGTGTTTATCAGACAGACTTCTTGTGCTCCAGGGACTCATGGTCTAGTCAAGAGAATTCAGAGACAGAAACACAAGATGAATTCAAAAATGGTGGAATCGCAACATTCGGTAGAATAACTTACAAGGGAATACACTCAGAGAAAAACTGAAATGACAGTTCTGGTTAATTTGTCAAGAAATTTATGAATTTATCAGAGGAGAGTAGGGCCTAAGGCTTTTCGGGTATAACTGGAACACTCGAAGCTATTAATTATCTTTGGCAGTAAAGCATATACTGAATTTTCACCGAATGCCAGAATCCATACTAGGTGCCGTGGGAAAATTGAAGAAGCTAAACCCATGGCTCCTAGCTTCAAAAAAAAAAAAAAGACCCTTTTTTTGAGGAAGGGAGAACACACATATACCATTCACTCTCACATGACATAAGAGAATGTCCATAAATTCAATAAGAAAATATGAATATTAGCTTGTAGGATTTAAAGGCAGCGGGAGCCCATGCTGAAAATTTAAAGTGGGAGGGAACCACTGTCACATGGCAGAGATACCGAGAGCTTTTAGTGGGGTGATGCGTATGGTACCGGGAGAGTCATTCAGTATTTACACAGGTAAAGTAAACATATTACAACCACCAGCCAGATTAGGATGCTCTGCTCCACGGCTCCACGTAACGCTCTCCAATGACTTATCCTTCCTGCCATGAGCAAGTACACTGATTTCCGGTTTCCCGGACAGCCACCCCTGATCTGTGCTCTTCCTATAATGCTTCCGTCCTATGATTTTATTTGCATGAAAGCCTAACAGATATAGGGACCTTAGAGCTGACCCTGGCCTGACGCTCCCGCTTCTTATTCCAGATCATTCTGCACTCTATGCACAAATACCAGCCCCGAGTTCATGTGATTCGCAAGGATTTCAGCAGCGACCTTTCACCCACCAAACCTGTACCTGTTGGGGACGGAGTGAAAACGTTCAACTTCCCCGAGACCGTGTTCACCACAGTCACGGCTTATCAGAACCAGCAGGTAAGAGGCTGCCTTTGACAGTCCCCTGCCGTATCTGCTTTTAAAGGAGCTCGTTCAGGCTTTCGGGAAGAAATGCTCACACGTGGCACTGAAGACCTGGAATGAGAGACAGCAGGCTTGCAGTGCACACGTGGCGCTGGTGATGACAAGGCGGTAATGCCTCGTGGCAGCTGGCATAGTCTAGATTTAGATCAGAGAGATCTTTGCCCAGGCGGTCCGGTCCTCCTAAGCCATTTTCATGTCTCTCTGCATGCGTACCCCTGTTCATAATCCCCACTGCGTCCTGGCAGATGTCCCTCATCCTTTGCAGTTCCTTTGCAAGTTCTGAGGTTGGATTCATTCTTTCCCCCTTATCTGCGATTTTCCATGTATCCCTCCACCCGGCTACATGGAACTCATCAGGCCTCTCGAATTCTAAGACCCGCGAACTTCATTTACACTTTCAGACTAAATTTACCTCCGTGTGACCTATACACCCTACGATCTGTATGTTTTTATGTCAATAATATGTTCATTCATTCCATAAATATTTATTGAGAACGTACAATATTCCAAGCCTAGCATAGAAATCAAGCAGGTTAAGACTTGTTTCTCGCTGAGCAAAGAAGAGTCTTAGTTGAGTGAAAGACCCGTAAATACATAATAATAATACAGTGGAATAATTTAACAACAGAGATGTAGACAGGGTGTTTTTTTGGTTTGAGGAATGATGTAAATTTTCCTGGAAGAGTTGATGGTTTTTCTGATGTCGAGACACACATATGAATTAGCCAGACTAAGGGAGGGGATACGTGGTTGGAGGAGGGAGAGAGAGACCAAGTCTGGAGTCATTGTGGGCATTTTAAACAATATTCTTTTTTTTGAGGACGGTGAATAGATGGCTTTACAAGTGATTTCACTTTATGCAATTCCCTAAAAGTTGCACGTGAATCTTATTTTTGTAAATTAGGTTGTATTTCGTCTTTTGGTAAATCATCTAATTAATAGGATCCTGCAGTGAATCCTTTTTCTGAAACAAAACGTTTTTGCTTATTTTGCTTGAAAGTCCCCATTCTTCTATTTTGGGCCTGCTTGGGGCAAAATGAACTTATACTGTAATACTCAGTACCTTTGGTATGGGTACTATGCTCAGTGATCTGATAGAGAAAGCAACAGAGGAGAAGTATTTATTCACTAAATATTCGTCAAGTGCTTACGATGTGCCAGGCAGGTGAAGGTGAGTTACGTAACCTTTGGGTCATGCAGAAAGCGTATTTCTTCCTAGTGAATCTGGATAAGTTTCCTCAGACATTCTTCACCTTCAGAGGAATTTGATGTACAACAGCCCCATAGTCTGGTGAATGTTAAATGCTATGTGGTTGTTCTGTTATCTTGGCAGCTATAGAAAGTTCCCATCTTCGGATTTTCCTGGTTGATCCACATTTGATCTAAACTAGAGGAAGAGTTTCGTTTGTTTTGGGTGCTATTTGAAAACTATTAAATCCTCTCGAACTCTTAGGTAGTTAAGATTGCAGAGGCCCTGGGGGGTCCTCACAGAAAGCTCTGATTCAAGACAGAGCAGAAATGTACGCATGGGCTTTGGAGCAGCCGGAACGCTGCGGGAGAACAAGTCTGAGGTTTTGAATAACTGATCGGACTTTTTCCCAAGATCCCCCGAACCACCATTTTGATCATTAGTTTCTCACGAAGGCAGAGGTGTGGCAGTCAATACTACAACTTGAGAATTTAGTTTGTAGAACAGACTAGAACACTGATGAATGAGCTCACTGAGATGGGTTCTAGAGGCCAGGGGGGTCACTTCTGTGACTCCAGCAGAGACGACCCTTGGTGACAGTGAGGGAAGACGAAACGTGGCTCCCGGAAAGCCCGTTCGCTGCCTCGACCTCTCGTAGGCGCGTCCCTGCGCTGAGCACGTTCTCCTTGGACAAATATTTTGTCTGTATCCTGCCAAGGGCGGAAAGACACCATCTGGCAACAGACACGCCTGGTCTGACTTCTGACCTCTCTCCTGACAAGCTGCGTGGCTGCGAGCAACTTTCTTAACTCCTCTCAGGTTGTGTCTCCAGGTCTGAGAATGTCCCGGCCTCACAGAACTGTGAGGACTCGAGGAGGGGACATGCACAGAGCCACCGACGCAAGCCTGGTGTCTGATTAGTGGCAGTCGGCTGACACCGCTCAGTGGCTGGGTCTGCACGGGCTCGGGGCGTGGGGAGGAGAGGCCATGTTACAGGATCAACTGCACGTTAAGGAGAAAGCGGTTGAAGAAGCTGCTGTGGCTTTCGAAGAGAGTATAATCACTAGGTAACTACTGTGATCTCTCTGTTCTCATGTCCTTTGGTGAATTCATGATGTGCCGCCATTCAAAATGGATGAGACGTACTCAGTTCTGCCCATTTTGAAGTCAAGATAACAGCTTTTGCCTGTTTAACAAGCCTCCCGTCCCCGGATAAATCAACACATGATTGTTTAACATTCCCTTTGGCTACGTAGATATGATTTAATATAATACGGTGTCTTGTAATAAGGCAGACTAACCTCAGCTCTTTCTCCCAAGAAACCTGAGGTCTGTATCGTGTAAGTCAGAGCTGTTAGCTAACGATCATTTTCAGACTTGTCTCGAAGATGCCAGGGAGCATAAACTGTTCTCTTATGTAAGCTATATTTACCTATTACTCTGTTTTTATTTCCCTCGACCTTCCGGAATGAGAACGATTACTATTTTACGGCAAACTGCTTCCTATATTTCTTTTTAAGGGAATGGTTAAGAGGCCTATGAGAGAAAGGAGAGGAGGAGTCAGTGGCAGGTTGTCACTGTTCTGGGGATTTGGAGAAGCACGGTGAGGGGAGGGGGACAGAGGAAATGGAGTTAAATGGAGGCCGCGTCCCGTTCCACGGACAGCAATGGGCTGGACATGTGGAGACCCAGGTTCCAGTCCTAAATTTTCCACTAGCCACCTGTGTCACCCTGAGCAAGTCGTTTTGTCTTTCTAGGTTTCATTTTCTTCTCCAAGGAAATCGGCGGTCGGCCTACGCTTTCTAAGGTCTCTCAGCTCTGAATTGATAATTTCTCCCTCTTTTTTTCCTTCATGCTTAAAATTTCTTTTTAAACTGATTTATTTTCAGTTATACTTGGCAGTCAATATTATTTCATATTCGTTTCAGGTACACAGCATAGGGGTTAGACATTTATATAATTTTCGCATGATTTTTAATAGGGTTGGGAGCAATTCATTGTTATCAGAGGCAATGGACGCATGATTTTCAAGTATTGAAAATTAGTAGAGTGTTTTTTTTTTAACCCCGGACCAACACAGTTTACCAGGTCCACGCTTGAGAGTGGGAGCGTGGTGTCTCGTTGCTGGTAAACGAAATACTCCGAACTGTACTATTCCTTTGTGACACCTTCCAGTCCTCGCCATCGCTCAAGCCTATGTTTCTTGTTGGCTTCTACCTTGTCACCCAGACTGGACACCTGACTCTCTCGCATCCAATCCGCCAGTAAACTCTGTCGCTTCTACTGATGGAATATTTTCTTCTTTCTAATCTCATTGTTTCTGCCCTTGTTCTGGACCCGCCTTCCCCTCACCTGCGGCTGTTGTGACAGCTTCCGGCAGAGTCGCCTGGACTGCAAGCTTAATGTCTCATATAATGAGCCATCACGTATATTCATTGCTGGATGAATCTTCCTAAAGCACCATTTCTGTCAAAAACTGTCTATGACTCCCCAGTGTCTCGGGAGTAAGTCCAGGATTCCGGGCCTTTGGTTAAGGTCCTCTGTGGATAACTGCCAGCTTCATTTCTAGGCTTATTTTCCATTAATCCTCATTATGCATCCACAAGAGTTCAGCGGTCCGGTTAGAATTTTGCTGCCGTTTGCACTGTGCAGCCAGCTGCCTTTTGCACGTGCTCTTGTCTCTCCAGCAATGCCCTTCCCCGTTGTCTTTATCTGTCTAGGTGTCTTCTGTTCTTCAGGTTTGGGCAAATACTGTCCCCTGTAACCTTCTTTACATTTTCGACTGCAAATGAGCTTTCCCTTGTCAAACTGCTAGTGACTGTATCTCTCTCATGATCCTTATCACTTTCTATCTTGTGTGTGTGTGTATGTGTGTGTGTCCAATCTTCCTCTCAATATTTTGAGCTTTTGGGGAACAAAGGTTGCACATTCTACAAAAAGTAATGTGATATGGTCGAAAACACCAGGCTGGGAGTTAAGAGACTTGAATTCTAGACCTCGTTCTGTAGCGGACAGACTGTACTGCCTTTGCAAATCACTCCACCTCAGAGTTTCTATTTGCAAATTGATGTTTTAGTCTGAATCCGTACTTCTCGGTCACCAGTCTATGGAAAAAGACCTTTGCGGTCCACTGAAAGATGAGAAAAATAAAAACAGTATAGAGATTTTTTTTTATATATGCAAACTTCATTTTAATAGACTATACATTATTTTATTTTGTCCTTTTAACTTTTTTGATGTAAAATGTCATTGACTTTATGAAATAATGATAGCAGGGGATAAGAGATGTGAACTCTCTTTGCTTGGTAGAACAAAAACACCGAAATATCAATGCTGATCTTTCAAATGTTGGAAGGGAGGGAATTAGAATTGGCCTATGAAAATCCGAACCCCAGAAACCACTAATTCAGATAAAGGACCCTTCCATCTCCATGTTCCTTTTTAAAAATAATTTGTTATCTTTTGATCACAGTTGACATACAATATCATATTAGTCTGAGGTGTGCGAAATGATTAGATATTTATACACCTTATGCAGTGATCGCCCAGGTAAGTCTAGTACTCATCTGACACCGTACGTAGCCATTACAATATTATTGATTGTATTCCCTGTGCTGTACTTTACCTCCCTGGGACTGATTTTTTAATTTTCATTTTTCAATTGGAGTTGACATTCAATATTATTTTATATTAGTTTCAGGTGTACAGCATAATGGTTAGACATTTATATAATTTATGAAGCGATCCCCCTGATTAGTGCCCATCT